GTGATCATCGCTGTATATGTTGATGATCTTAACCTAGTGGGCATTACGTCTGTATGTGTTACAGCTACAAACCTACTTATATGTGCATTTGAGATGAAAATGCTAGGAAAAATAACTTTTTGCATTGTTCTTCAGATTATGCATCTAACAGATGGTAGTATTTTTCTCTACCAACTAATGTATATTAGATGAATCATGTAAAGATTTAATATGATTGATGCTTATCCATTGTCCACACCAATGGTTGGACGTGGTCATGATGGTCATGATCCATATCATCCATGCGAGGAGGAGGAGGAAATATTGGGAGATCAATATCCATACCTTGCAATGGTTGGATTACTTTTGTATTTAGCTACATCTAGAAGACCAGATATTGCATTTGCACTTAGTGTTCTTGGAAGACATAGTGCATGTCCATTACTATGACATTGGAGTGGCATCAAACATTTATTACGTTATTTAAAAGGTACTGAAGACTTGAGATTATACTACACACAATCCGCAAATCCAAAATTGGTTGGATATTATGATGCAAGATATAAATCTGATACTGCAATAGCTAAATCTCAAACATGATATGTATTTTTAAGACATGGAACTGCAATATCATGGAAATCAGTGAAACAAACAATAACTGCAACTTCATTCAACCATGTAGAAATGATTGCCTTACATGAAGTATCTCGAGAATGTATTTGATTGCGATCAATTGACAAATTCATTCAAACAACCTGTGGATTTTTATATGATGATTCTCCAACTATTTTGCATGAAGATAATAGTGCTTATATTACACAAATGCAAGTTGGTTTCATTAAAGGAGACATGACAAAGCATATTGATCCAAAGTATTTTAGTTATATCCATGACTTGATTACTGATCAAGTACTTATAATTAAAAAAATTGAATCTAGAAATAACCTTGCTGATCTCTTCACCAAAGCTCTTTCATTAAGCAACCATCATCGACTTACTTATCGCATTGGTATGCGGCGACTTATTTTTCTTGAATAAGAAAGTTGATGAGCTCTTTAAATAATTAAAGAAAATAATGTTGTACTCTTTTTCCTTCATCTTTTGTTTTTTTCTTAAATAAAATAAGATTTTTTTAGATAAGATTTTAATGAGGCAACAATTGTTGATCTTGCAAGATCACAAAAAAGTATAGATCATAATTCTATACAAATTTTATATTATGTAAATATTATGATGAGCGAGGAGGAGTGTTGAGATCATTAAATGTAGTTGGCACTCTCCATAATATTTACTGTAGACTACAGTAAATACCATAGCTACAATATTTAGAGTCTAGTGGAGAAATACTGTTTATCCTCTCCTCTTTTCTCTTCTTGTATACGAGACACAACCAGATCAATAGATTTTCATGTGTGAAGCTCTTTCTCCTTAGAAACCTTCTTGTGTGTGTGTATGACTTACTATTGCTCTTGTGTCTTTCTAAACATTCTCAACATGATCATATTTTTTTTTTTTTTTTACTTTTCCTTTTGTTTTTTGTTTTTGTTTTTCTTTTCCATCTCCTCCTCTTTTTTTCTCTTTTTTTTCTTTCTCTCTTTCTTTCTTTCTTTAATTTAATTTAATTTTATTTTATTTAGATTGTTTGAAGTAAATTTAACCCCCATTGGTTGAAAGTCTACTCTAATTCACAACTATTAATTGTCTTTTAATTTAATTACTTAAGTTGTCTTCTACTTCGTCTTAAATTTTTAATACTTTTAATTGATAAAAAGCACTCTCATACATCACAAAAATAATACAAGGTGCTCAAATAACTCAACAAAAATACACACTATTAAGACAATTTTTTATATGAATTAATTTAAGTCTATATAATGTTTTTAAAATTTAAATTTTTATTTTGATCTAGTATTAAAAATTCAAAATTCATCCAAAATTCAAAATTCATCTAAGATAAATTTCCATATATGAATGAATATTTTTCCACAAATAATTTTTCATCCATAAATAAAAAGTCGTCCTATTTCAATTATACTTCATCTATAATTTATCATCCAATTCAAAACTTAATTTATCCAATTCAATTTAAATTGATCATGATAATTAAGTATAATAGTTGGTTTATATGTAACTTAGTTTGAATGTCTTACAAAATGAGAAGATTGATTACAAGTCAAAACAAGGTCGGAAAGCACCACAGTTTGATTAATGCTAGGTTTCTACTTTTGTAGTGTACATGGATTGTCAAATGACTCTCCTTTCTTGTTGGAAGTTGAAAGCAAATTGACAAAGTCTCTTAACAATGATGACTTCAATTTGAATTGAGAGTCATCTAAACAATCTCTTCATGTAAAGTAATATTTGTGCAAAATTAGGTGCCATCTCCTTCACAATAGCTACATTCTCCAATGCAAAACCTCCTCAATTGTCTCCTTCAGCCACTCTTTAAGATTTAACTCCTGATATTTCTTCCCAACTATTATGTCTCTACTACTAAAATTAAATGATCTAATATAATTAGATATTCTAAGGTTCAAACTTTCCTTGCTACGGTTTTAGTAATCTCAAATTGATAATCTATTCCTTGTAATAACATAAATCTTTTTGCAAGGCTCTAACTCTTGTGCAATATGCTTGCCATTGCAAAAATAACTCACGTGCATCTTTGATGTACTTCAACTTGATCTTATAAAATGATTCTTTGTATTTGATTCTATATTGACATTGATGTGTGCTCTAAATCCTCCTTTGTTTGGGATATTGAAGTAACAATAGAAAAGTTGAAAGAAGCAAGAAAAAAGAATCAGAAAAGATTTTATAAAATACATTGACTATGGCCTAAAACAATTGAAGAAAGTGATTGGGTCTTAGTCTATAATAATAGTTTGGATAACCAAAATAGTATATTACAAAAAATTTCTAAACATTGGTTTGGACCATATATTATAATAGAAGTCTATGACAATGATACATATTTTTTATAGAAACTTGATGGAACAAAATTGAAGACACCTATAGCATGCAAGTTGGTCAAATTATTTAGACAAAGAGATGTATGGACATATTTTGATGAAGAACAAAATCTATTAAGTGATATAAAAATAGGAGTAAAGAAGCAAATTGAAGACTAAGAATTTGACTAAGATGAAGAACCTCATACATCAACATATTTAAGAATTATTGAAACAAGCCAGAGGATGTATAAATTATAGAGGAGATAGATGTTGTGTAGTAATACAACCATTAGGTGGAAGAAGAAAGAAATTATTTTATTATAGATGAGCCTAGTAGAAAGATATAGTAGAAAAATAATGATAAATAATAAGAAGGTAATAAAAACTTTAGTCTTAATGTTGATTTTTTATATAAGAGACTTTTATTTACTTTGTATTACCATAAATGAGCCAAATCAAAGCAAATAAAATAATTATTTGATATAAGTATATTTAAGAAAAGATTAAAAGTAGATTTTAGCAAAATTCCTTCAAAATACTAAGAATTGATATCCAAAGAGGACTAGTTGTGAACCAAAGTTGAAATTAGACCATGGGGCACAAAACCATAGACCTACAGCAACTTTGGAGTTCTTTGGTCAATCGGCGAGTAGACTTTGATAAGAGACTTAAGAGAGGTTTTTTGAGCATTAGATTTCAATGATTTGAGTTTGTAACAACTTTGTAAAGGCTTTGCAAAATTAGGGTTGTTTCTAAGTTAATTTTGATTTTGAAAAATTCAAAGAATTGTACTTTGGACAATTATGTGAGTTTTGTAGATGATCTATAGATGAAATTTTGTGATTGTAAGTATTACTGTGTGTAGTTTGTATTGCAAGTTTGAGCTTGATCTTATGGTTTATTTAAATTTTATTGAAGCTCAAACATATTAAGCTCTTAGGAATTGTAATATAGAGGATCAATGAGGATTTCTATGATATTTGTCAATCTACTATTTAAATTGAAATAAAATTCTATGCACAAATAGTGAACTTGACTTTAATAGAATATCAAAATCAAGGTTAGAAGAGGCAAGCCAACATTCAAGTAGAATTTTGGGATTAACTTTTATTTGATATGTTTGATTTTCTTCAAAACTTTTGTGCTTATTGCCAGATTAGTTATTGAAAATTATGCAAATTTTAAGTTGAAATCAACAATTCAATCATCAGTTATTTGAAATTCAAACTAGTGTAAGGCTTATTAAGAATTTGGTTAGGATTTGATTAGGATTTGGTCTAAGATTAGGTTAGAATTTAATTAAGATTTGATTAGGATTTGATTAAGGTTCGATCTAGGATTTGATTAGAATTTGATTAAGATTCAATTACTATTTCTATATTTAGTATTTTAAGTATTTAGTCTTTAGAAGAAGAATCATAAAAGTAAAAGCTAAAAGAAGATGAACGTCATCAAGCTAGTTACATGATCAAAGATAAGATTGCCTTACTCTACTTTATTGTATAATTCTTGTAATCACCTTATTAAAATTATGCAATCTACATCAATATCCATATTTATTGTATATCACTATTTGGATATTAGTTTAGATATTGTTATGCAAAATGCAACCACAAAAAGATTCAACAATTGGATTAACATGAAACAAAGAAGTTAAGAAAGTAACTCAATACATTAATAAATTTGTTTCTACATGTTGCAAATAGAGTGGTTAACACTAATTACAGATATTGGTGTAATAAGAAATAATTAAATTTCCACCTGCTCACAATTTATACTTATACAAATTGATTGATCACATAACAGGTAGATACAAAAGTTAAATAGAGTTATTTATACACGTCGATTGAATCAATATCCTGTTGACACCAGTTTTAACTTTTTACGTTAGACTTTCTCGCCTGTGTAGTTCACCATTAAAGGACTAAATGAAGGGCTCATAATGTTCATTTTCCACTACTAAAATTAGCTACCCAACAAAAATGTGGGGTGAGTATTTCAATCCTTGATTCTCCGAAGTATCTTGACAATAAACAAACTGACCAAGAAATCGGTATACGTTTTGCCCGGTCGGTAAACCACCAGTCTCTTGCCGACAATGTCCCAACTTCATCACGCACAATGTGTCCACCCCAACTCAATTGCTGCAGCAGGGAGGCAGGTGCAGAGTGAGAAGGGGTGACTACAAGTCGGGTTCCAGAAGTGAGCACAGGGACGCTGTTCTAAGCGTGTGAAGTGTCGGAGGAGATTTTGGGTCACACCAACTAGTGCGTTCATCTTGATGGACTCGCTATGGGGAGTGTTGGCACTGCTATTCTGCATGGTCAGTGTTCCTGGTGCGTGGAGTGTGGTAGATCCTAAAACTGGTAAGTTTGTGATGCTTTAGTTTTCGAGAGGTTTTTATTGTTGTGTCCATTCCTTTCCGGCTCCCCGATCCAATATCACACATAGGATGTTGGTCTGTCCTTACGAGTCTATTAGACTTCTTCCATCCGCCGTGAAGTCCTCGGAGGCACCAACGCTGTGAGTTGTTTCAAATTGGCTCAGACTTCCTGCACCTCGACTGTGGCGCCTCAAAAGAGTACACAGATAAGCATGGCATAACATGGCATCCAGATGATGCTTTCGTATCAACTGGAAAAATCGCGCGCAATCTACCCAACACCGACTGGCCAGAGGAAAAGGCTCTTCGCTACTTCAAAGGAGAATCCCGTACCAAGAATTGCTTCACACTTCCAGTAAAACCCAGAAGTATTTATATTATGAGACTTGGATTCTATCATGGAGGCTACGACAAATCCATGTCCCCACCTAGCTTTCAATTAGGCTTGGATTCCACAATTTTCGAGACTGTCTCAATTCTAGATGTGTCTGATAGGTTCATACATGAGGTGACATTTCAGACTGCGGCTAGGAACGAAACATCGCTTTGCCTTGTGCAGGATCCAAGTGGTAGTACCCCCTTCATCTCTAATATTGCACTCCGTGCTATTGAGAAATCGATGGTATCTGAGTTTATAACTGGTTGGTTGGATACTAACCAGATAGTGACCACCCAGACCCGTTTCTATCTTGGCGGCTCACAAATTAACAAAAATATCATAAAGTAAGTTTCAATATGACGCTTTGGGTTTGCCACTGGTGAAAACGTCTGCCTCTCCTTGAGTCAATGTTTCTAACTTATGAATACGCTTTTCGTGACGACCGCATTCCAGGCACCTTGGCGATCCTTACGATCGGTACTGGTATCCATCCGCCAATGGATCCTACACAAATTCTTATCCGATGAGGTATGCCAGTATTATTTCATGTACTTCTACGCCAGTTGGTATTCAAGCAAAAAGTGACACGAGAATTGGCACATCTTCGGTTCCAATTTATCTGAGTGAAACCCCTCAAGACGTTTTGCGTAGTGGGATGACAACCAACGGGAACCTCACAATTGACTTGGACTCAAGCGTATCTTTCAAAGCATATATACAATATTACTTTGTAGAGCTCGACTTGACAACCAACAAAACGGATCGAAGCTTCTACCTAGTTGGACCTGGAGAAACTGAGCCTTTCCTGGTGAATGTGGTAAATCGAACAAGAGAAACATTAAAGCTATATGGTGTTTATAACGATAGCGCCAATATTGGACCTGGGTCGAAAAATTTCTTCTATCCCGATCCGTTCCGAACATCGATGAAAGGTCCCATACTGACCGCCATGGAGATCTACAAAATTTGCGACCCACTGGTTGCACCTACAAACGATCGGGACTGGGCTGCAATCGAGAGCATCAAGGTGGACATGAATTTGACAAGTTGGCGAGGCGACCCTTGTCTCCCAAAACCTCACCATTGGATCAATTGTAGTTCAGTGGACAAAACGGAAAATCCAGCCGTTCTTACAGTGTAAGATGTTTGCGTTTATCGTTTCCTCACGTTTGCACTTTACTCTGCAGGTTGATCCAATCATGCTGGAAAGTAGCCATTTCAATTCTGACCTGGTTCCAATTCTGAATCAACCTTCCCAGAGTACTATCAGCAGAAAACTTAACTGGAGCCATCTCACCCAGCTTCAACGACCTTCTAGACCTCACCACCTTGTAAGTGTACAAACGTCCTGAGCCCCCTCCTGTAGCCAGTTGAACACCCTTCCATGCCGATCAATTTCCCGCGCCATTCCATATGGCTGAGGTTGGGACGTCCTTTCCATGTGCAGGAAGTTGGATGGCAACTCTCTGACGGGGCAACTACCTGACTTGAGTGCCTTGACGAACTTGAAAACATTGTGAGTTCCTAACTATTTGGTGGTTCCAAAATACGAATCCAATTCACATTCCGCAGCAAATTGGCACTAACCTACGCGTTTGTGTCTATGTCCAGACATTTACAAGACAACGCACTGAGTGGACCGCTTCCAGAGTGGCTTGCTTTTCTACCAAAGCTTCGCGAGTTGTGAGCACTCTTGACCCACTCTTACCAAACCATAGTGTAATCAACATTTACCACAAACCCCGCTGATTATCACAGAGCTTTTGTCATCATTGTGGTCATGTCCCTTTCCGAGTTGCAGGATTGTGCAGAACAACAACTTCAGTGGCAAAATCCCCTCAGCGTTCTCGAGCAAGAATTGGAATTTCACGTAAGATACTGTCCCTTGTTCCAACATCATCTAGCAACTTACAGGCCCATAGCTGTGTGACGTCACAACAGCAACGTACATACTTCCTAACTCAAGCGCGTTTGTGCAACTCTTTGTTAGCTACTACGGAAATCCGCTCTTGAATGCGACACTGCCAGCATCGCCTTCAACCAATACTGCAGCCATTGTAGGTGGAGTGGCAGGAGGAGTGGCATTTGTGGCGATCGTGGTTGCTCTTGTGTACTACTTAGTTTGCCGTCGAAATCGTCGTCCTGCAAAAGATATGGACACCCTAATAGTTGGAAATTCGAATCCAAACATTGTAAGCAAGGAGATCAACATCAACCTAACTTCAAACATTCATGGAGGTCAGTTGTTAGCTTTATCTCACACCCTACACCCTAAAGCAGCGATGAATTGTACCGCGTGCAGCTGTTGGTCAACGACTCATTTACTCTCACGCAGCAATATAGCTGGAAGATGGAAGCAGGCACTTACAATCTATGACCACAGGTGCCCGAAAATTCTCTCCCGACGAGATCGTTGCTGCAACGGCCAACTACAAGAAGGTGATCGGGAGAGGAGGCTTCGGCCCCGTGTACTACGGCAGGTTGACGGATGGCAGAGAAGTTGCAGTGAAGGTCCTCGATAAAGAATCTCGCCAAGGGGAGACAGAGTTCCTCAACGAAGTCGACATTCTGTCCAGAGTCCACCACAAGCATCTTGTAAATCTTGTAGGATATTGCAGAGTACCAGGGATGCAGATGATGTTGATCTACGAGTATATCCACAGGGGCTCCCTGCGAGACCATCTCAGTGGTACAGTCACATCTGGTGAGCTTTGAACATCCTGTCTCGACTGGTTCAGGATAGGCCATGACCAGCGACGTTTTCCGATTCCTCCCATAAGCTTTGACCTACTCCACTTGCTTTCACGTACCTCGACGTTCGTGAACATTTTGAACGCTAACGGCTCATAGGTCTCGATTGACAACAGAGGGCTCTGCCAATTCTGGACCGGATGTGCTGGACTGGAAGACCCGACTTAACATTGCCCTCCATGCAGCATCAGGTATTGTGCCGGAATGCACTTGAAGCAATTTCCTTTGATGTGATATGCTGCACCAAAGTGGAGTGCACAGCTTGCGCATAATTCTCTGGTCCTCGTGGAATGATTGCAGGGTTGGAGTACCTACACAAAGGGTGCAGTCCGAGTTTGATACACCGTGATGTGAAGAGCAGCAACATCCTCATCACCACCAAATACGAAGGGAGACTGACAGACTTTGGGCTGTCAAGGCTCGTTGGTGATGAGGACATAACAAAGGTCGTCACGTTTGTCAAGGGCACAGCTGGGTACCTGGATCCAGAGTAAGCCATACATCTGCAATCGTACTTTTCAGGTTTCAGTTCTTGTTTCACTCCGTAGATGCCGTTGTGATTCGACAATGAGTGGAGGGCGACGCACCAGAAGTTGGATGTAGCAGTCTGTTGAGGAAGGCTTGAGTATGAAGGACTGAATTCATGCAATGCAACTGTCCAGGTACTTCTCCACAAATGTGCTCTCTGCCAAGAGCGACGTCTTTAGCTTCGGAGTGGTACTTCTGGAATTGATCACAGGACGTCTGCCCGTCGACCGGTCGAAGCCGACGGAATGGAACATCTGTGACTGGGTAATTTTATTCGCGAGCACCAAAGTTGACGCAGCAATGAGCAGCATCGTTTGTAGCATATGCAAGCGGAGTGTGACCTTTCTGGGGCAGAAACAATGCACTGGGGCAATTCTGAGGCATGTTGTTATGTTCAGGTTCGGGCGAGTCTGGCGCAAGGGAATATCGAGGCTATACTGGATCCTGCGGTGAGAGCGTCTCATCCGAATGTCGATGCGCTTTGGAAAGTTGCTGAGATTGCGTTGCAAAGCGTGGAGCCCAGAAGCAAACATAGGCCAACGATCAACGAAGTGGTGCTGGAGCTGACGGGTGCCATAGCTTTGGAAGGTTCTGCGAGTAACGACAGTAGTTATGGTAACTTCTCATCCTCTGCCGAAATCCACGGAACCCAATTCCTCCCCTGGGCCAGGTAGAGTGTGCACATTTTGGATTGTAATGTCCGTTGTGCAGAGTACAGTGTGTGGATTTCTTCGACCTTGGAATCGGTTGATGCTTGTAAGATGTTAAGGATGGGAGAAATTTTGTTAGGTACGTGCAACAGATTTGGTGTTTTGGTTTTTAATGCAGCTCAGATCATGCTTAGGGATTGTAGATGTAATAAGAAATTTTATGCACAAGTCATGATACCATTAATTACTTTGCATAGAATACAGCATGACTGACATCGTCCAAATTGAAGTAATCAGGGTCATTGGAACTGTATTGTATTACTTAAGCTCTTGATTTGATGCAAATCTTGAGTCTATGATTGAATTGGATTAACGATTCTGCAGTGTACAACACCCTATTGGTTTATGCACTGGATTTGGATACCAATGGCACAATGAGTACCTAACCCTATGTGCAAACTTTGGATCGTAGGCCTGGAGTTGAGGAAATTTTAGCAGGGCCATGATGCTTCTGACTGTGGAAGTCACGTGTCATTAATTTTAGGATTATTATCATTTTTGTTAGAATCTTAGTTTCTCCTTAGTTATGTGTCAGCTTGTTAGAAAAAATTTAACAATTATTCCCTGCTAATCACTTTTGTTGATAAAGAGCATTTTTATGCAATGCTACAAAAATGAGCATTACAATCACATTTTTGAATTAGATTTTGTGCTGTCTGTAGTAGAATAGAAGTATAAAAATAAATCATTCAATCAAACTAACTTTATTTACATAAGAAATTGCTATCTATTATTTAGTATCAAAATAATTAACGAAATGAGTATTTAAAAAAAAATTACAGTGTCCTCTCCATAAACTTTAAAGATAAACTAAGAACCAATGATTAGAAGATAAGTCAACTTCAAAAATTGAATCAGATACAAAAAAAACACTAGTATCACACAATGAGTCGTACAATACATTAGCTCCAGAAAGATAACAGAATATATATATATATATATATATATATATGTATATATTTAAATTTGACACATCAAACATTTTGTACTAATAAACAATCCCACCCTGTAATCCATCTAATGTACTCTTGGCCTAATATACTTCCATACATTTGTTAAATTAAACAATCACAAAGGTCAACTAACCATACTATCAAGGTTTTAAATGTGCAAACCTAATACCAATTGGCGTTGATGGCAACATGTTGGTTTCTTTTGAAGTTCTAAAATTTGATGTGATTTTTGATTGCAGTCTCTTGGTTCTTGGGCTTTGGTTATTTCTGGTTCTCCTACAACTCCAACCCTGAAAATGCCCAATGACAAAGCGTTGATCTCAATAAGTAATCAATTGCAATATACGATAATTTCAGAGGGAAAGAAACACATGTAGAAGAGGTAATGCCCCACATTAAGATGTATTTAAATAACCCTGATGGCAGCACCATCCACATTTCATAAGGTCAACTCATTAAAAATAAATACATTGAAATGATCAAAACTAGCATTTTGTATTAAAAAAGATTATTTGAATTGGTGTGTTTCTTCAAACATTAATTTATGGATGAAAATTGAGCAGACCTTGACAAGTAGAAGGATAAGAGAAGCTCAACTATCTAGCTACATGAGGATGATAGACAGATATGGTAGGAAAAGATATCAATGTTTGAGAATTTTGATAGCTTGTCTTCATCAGCTGCCTCCGTGTCTTATGAAACTATGAAGAAAGTGCAACATTGGAGTTTGATGGAAAATGTTTTACTTTAGAAGAATCAAGCAAAGGAACTTCAATTAGTACACTGGTGATATGTACCATGTGATGGCAATTACTAGGATTTGATTAAGTTTTATTAAGATTTAATTAGGATTTCAATTAGTATTTGATCTATGATTTGATTAAGGTTCATTAGGATTTCAATTAGGATTTTAATTTGGATTTGATTTAAAATTTGGTTATGGTTCATTAGAGTTTCATTAGGATTTTAATTAGGATTTCAATGAGGACTTGACATAGGAATTGGTTAAGCTTTATTAAGATTCATTTAGGGTTTCAATTAAGATTTGATTTAAGGTTTGATTAATATTTATTAAGGTTTTAATTAAGATTAAATTAGGATTTTTTAGGATTTATTTAGGATTTATTTAGGATTTATTTAGAATTTTTTTAGTACTTTTGTAATGTTCTTTGTTATTTCTTTAAAGTTTTTATTTTTCACATTTTTTAAAATTTATTATTAATTCTTTAAAGGTTTATTTTTTTATTTCTTTAAGATTCTTTTGTTATTTTTTTTAAGGTTATAATAAGACTTCTTTGTATTTATTTTATAATATCTTTTAAATAAATTTTCAATTGATTAAAAATTGATTAGAATTAAATTGAAACCTTAAAGTAAACCTTAAGGATTACTTAAAGTTTATTTAAGACTATTATGTTTAGTAGGATTGTTGTTGCTTTTTGCTTATCTTCCACAACAAAGTACTGAGTGTATTCTTAAGCAAGAATGCATATAATATGACATAATTTGGTGAATCTCAAATGAAAAGCTTGAGGTGAAAGGTATTTAGATTTTTTTTTTATTTCTTTTGATTATTTTTTTTGATTTATTTGAATTATGAAGAAGAAAGAGAAGGAAATGGAAAGAAAGGTTTTAGATGGTACTTTATTTGGTACTTCAAGTGGAAGACAAAGTAAATATTTTGATCTCAATTCTATAAGTATGTTTGAGGCTTTTTTCCTATTCATGCAACAACAAGTTAAAGAATGCAAAGAGGCTATAGAAAACAAAGTATTACAAGTAGTTGTGGTTAAGATTGATCAATTTGAAGAGAAGAATATTATAAAATATTTAATGTATTATGTAAAAAAAATGGGATTGATGCATGTTTTTGAAAACGAGATGGTTTAATTATTTGAATTAGTCTTTGCATCAGAGATAAGAAATCAAGTAAAGTCCATCATAGGACATTTTGGAGGTTTATGGAATTTTTTTTTCAAGCATTAAAGAATGAATTTTTTTTGGAAAATAGTAATTGTATTACATAGAAGTTTTTTGAGTAGATTGAAAAAGATCTTTAAGAAACAAAATTATTTAGAGAGTTTGAAAGATAATATTCTTATTTATCAAAGAAAAAAAGATAATTATTAGATTTAAGCAAAGTGGAATTATTTCTTCAAGTGACTGATGAAGAGTTATAAGGGAAGTTGCAAATTTTTCTTCAAGATAAAGAAGAAGAAGAAAGATTGATAACAAATTAGAAGGAAGTAGAAGAGGCAATAGGATTGCTTATAAAGATAAAAAGGATAAAAGAAAAAGTAAGTGTTTAAAAACCATTGCAAACATCTAAAGTAAAAATGCCTATTAATTATTCTTTGTCTATGATTCAATCTTCAATGGTTACATCAAAAAAAGAAAAAAATGGACATTGATGAAATCATACCATGGATGAGAGATTTACAAATAAAATTTACAAAACTTGAAGAGATGAGTCAATCATAAAAAATATCAATAAAATAAAAATCAAGACCAATGGAAGTTGTAGTACATAGGTTCATGTGATGTAATAGCTTAGATCATTTAAGAAGAAAATGTAAAGTTTTTATAAAGGCATTACGTAAAGGAGTTTTTTTTTTTTTTTTTTTAAAGATGGTATGATATACTTAAAAGAGAGTGGAAAAAAATTAGAGACAAACTTTGATAAAAAGAGGATAAAGGTGCTTACAAAGAAAGCATTTAAAATCTCAAAGAATGAAGCATCAACATATTGGATGGAAGCAAATCTAAGCAAATCTAAGCAAACATTTAAGCATAAATCTTGAATTTTTTGAAGAATCTAGTTCTTTGGGATTAAATGAAATGAATTATGCTGAAAAGGAAAAAAATTATTAGAGATTATTTAAAACATGTTGGCAATAATATTTAGCAAATTACTAGGTTGGATGATCCAGTAGATGGATTATAGGTACATGCTTATATTGCAAGGAGTCAACATGAAGATTAATAGAAGAAAAACAAAGAAGAGATGAAAATAAAGAAGGACTATCAAAAAAAACTATAAGGGGAGAAAAAACACAATAAGAAAAGAATCCTATACATTATGAGAGAATAGAGAATATTTCTACAAAAAAAAAAATATATATATATATATATATATATATATATATATATGAAAGAAAAAGCAAAGGCTCTTACTTATAAATTACAATCCAATATTGAAGTTGCTATTGATTTGAAGAAAGTATTAGAGGATTAGATTATAAATAAAAAGATTGAATTCATAATTGGTAAAATTCTAGGAATTGCAAAGCGTGAATTTTATGAAGTTATTATTGATATAATAAAGAAAAAATGACTATCTATTAAAGATATTATGACATTAAATGTACAATAAACAAGAGCAATGGAAAGAAATAAAGATGAAGAAGATGAAATGCAATTTTTTGGAGACATCTTGCTAGTAAGATTTATAAAAAAAAGATGATGTGATTCAAGCTTTTATTCATTATTCTTGAAGTCATTGAACTATGACTACTATAGAAAGTTTGGTAAAATTAGAAGATTTAGAAGAACCAATTGTGGCATTAATTGATCATGGTTTTGAAATTAATTTAATTTCAAAAGAATTACATAAAAGAAAAAAAATGACTTATTGATATTGAACATAGAAAGATTATAAGAAAAATAAAAAATTCAAAGAAGGATTTGTATGGACCTTGTCCTAATATCAAAGTGACAATAGGAGATGTTATTTATGAATAAAATTTCTTAGCACAAGATATGTCTACATATCCTGTTATATTAGGACAACCGTTATATTATTGCCACGTGAATGGAAACAAAAGTTTTAGATGATGGTTTGGCCTATGTAAGAAGTTAAGCTTGAAAGAAGGTCATGTAATTTTTAACCGTTTGTGCAAATTACAAAAGAAATTGAGATAGTTTGAGAGAGCATCCTTTATCAAGGATACACAAAGAATTTAAAGATCTTAATGACTCAAAGGATTTTTTGACTAAAGGCCATTATAAAGTGGACTTGCAATAGTGCAAAGGGTGATGGCTTTCTATCTAGTAAAAGAAATGAGGCCATTATAGGATTATTATGGAATGGATATATTTTATTAAAAAATATAAATAATTTGAAAAAGATAGAAAAAAAAATGTAAAAAATATAAAATATGAGTTGAAGAAATATAGAATAATTGATGAAGATGAATACATATTAGGAATATTTGAAGAATCTTGCTTTAATGATACTATAGATAATTTTTAAATGTTATTAGATTTGGATTTTGAAGGTGGTGATAAGATAATAAACATCCATTCTAAGCAATTTTATGATGTAATGAAAGAATATATGAATAAGTATGAAATGATAATGAATGCAAAATATAAAATTGTTTCAAAAAAGATTAAAATAGTGGTATTTCT